CCCCAAAACCCCAAAACCCCAAAACCCCAAAACCCCATTATTATCTATTGCAATTGATTTAGTTTTTATAACATCTACAGCCCCGTTTACAAGTCATGGGTGTTAAGGGAGCTGATTTCGTCGCGCACTCGCCTCTTGAGAGCTTCTAGGTTAGGAGGCCCAAAGATGCTGGGATTTACGTCCAGCACTTCCGGAGGATCTTTCCTCTCGAAGTTCTTGGTGAACCTTCCATCTTGAACGTTGATGAAAGCTAGTTTCGAGCTCTCACTCGCTTTGAAAGACACTAGTGAGCCACTTGGATTCAAGTCTTGTTGAATATTTTGACTCTTCCTTTGGAAAAATTTGAGGGTTTTATTAGCTGGTATAGGGCAAGCCTGGTTTGGCCTTGCAGGAGAGTATTTTTGGTAACTTTTTGAAACAGGTTCAGGAGTCTTATTAGCTGAATAACCTTCAGGTTTCGGCCTACTGTAAGGAGACTTTTTGTAACTATTATCTTGCTTTGGTTCAAACTTGGTAGAATACTTGTTTTCTATAAAAGTAAAGTTTATATTGATTTCAAAATTTAGAGAAGCCAATCATTAGCTAGATTTCTATATTCAGGCTAATATTTTCCATTAAAATCCTTTCTTAAAATCCACAAAAGGTAAATCTCTTTGTGCAAATGTTTGTTTTTACGATCTCCAAGCATTGCCTTCATTGAAGAAGCCAAGTCTACTTACTATGAGCACGGGTTCTTCGTGTCTGTGAAGTATTTTGGTCTCCATAGTGAGAAGTAGGCTTTCTTGGGTGAGAGAAATGGCCTGAGTGGTTTATACGGGGTCTAAAGGTACACTCAGAAAGCTCTTTCTCTTCTCGTTCAAGTTCTACAGATTAAAGAAAAATTACTTTTCCGCTTCATCTCCTCTATTTTTTGCTCATTACGGTTGTATTGCAGTGAACGCTCATAGACATTCATCCTCTGATCTCTGAAGTGGTAGTCAGATACAAGTTTTGGCTTGAATGTGCAGTTTACTATCAAATTAGAGAACATTTTACTATCTTTCTGGTTCATTTCCTGCTCCTTCTTCAGGCGTTTCTGTTCTAAAACTTGCTTTCGCTCACTATTTAGCTTGTAGAGTTGTTCCCAAACAGGGGGCTTTTCATCAATATTATTCTTTTTGGCGAGATAGCCACTAATTTCATTAATTCTTGGCTGAAAGCTTCATTCTTCCTCCTCTGGAATCTTGCTAGGAGTTTTTGAACGAAGAATGTGCTTCTTTGTGTCTAAAATTATTAGTATGCGAATAGTAATCAAGCAAAGTAGATGAGCCTGGATTAAGCATAGAAGTCAAGTTCCTGTTTTGCTCATCTGTTGATAATACTTACTCAATCTTTCAAAGACATCAGTATCATTAATTTGGCGTTCTTTGATTTGTTCAAAGATCCTCCGGCTATTACCATCTACTGCTGGTGCGAAGGTGCAAGGATCTTCTTCAGGCTTTTTCTTAGTCAGATATTTCTGCCTATTAAGCCTCTTGCCCTTCCTACCTCCGTAGGTTTGGTCCTCTAGGACTACAATATTCTCTGTTGCCTTAGGATTCTATACATTAGCTGGAAAATACTTTGTTGATCTTTGGAGCAAAGGTTCAGTCCTTATCTTTATATTTCTCTTGAAGGTCTAGCTTCGAATATTCTACTTTCTTGACATACTGATCCAACTTTTTGCTAATGAACGTCTAAGGGTGAACTAATCAGCTTACTTGGATGTTACCCTTAGGACTCTTATCCTCTACACGGATGCTATTGTTAATGGTAGGGACAGCCATTGTCTTGATCTGTTCCTCTTCCTTCTTTATACGTAGCTCTCTAATCTTCTGGTTGAGCTGGTGCCTCTCCAAAAGTCTTCAAATTAGAGGGAGAAAATACCTGTCTTCTATTGATTTAGCTGATTTTGAGCTTTCCAATGGGCTATAGCTCTTCTTTGACAATATTTGTTCGGTATTTTTATTAATGCTCGGTTTTTCCTGAAGCTCACTGAGCTCATGCTGCTTGATCTCTTCAATGAGTTGTCTCTTGGTGTCATTTTCTCTACAGATTTAGGGCTGAATATACTTCTTGAGTGTCTGCAAAAGTCTTTGCTCAACAGGGATATACTTATTTTTCTGCATTTTATCACTCGAAATTTCCTTTGCTGACGAGTTTTCCAAAGGTGTTTTTTGGACAGGCAAAACCTCTTGAATTGGTGTTAGCAGGTCCACGCTAAAAGTTATTTTTGGTAAATTACTTCTCTTTCTCTGAGACTTGGCAATCATCGCTATCTTTATTAGGTGTGAACATAACTGGCTCTATATGGTCCATCTGAAAAATACCGATGCCTATGTCTTCAAGGTCTTCTTTTTCTGCAGTCGAGATCTTATCCTTAGCTTCTGTATTTAAAGGCTTGAGGACTGGAGACTCCATGAGTTGTGATGAGCTATCTTCAAACATGTCTTCTCGGCTTTCAGTAAGAAATGCATTCAAGTCGTTTTGCATTTCATCTACAACATGAATCCCTGGAGAAGGCTTCTTGGGATTAGTGTCTTGCTCAGAAATTACAAAGTTGCCATCATCCTCGGAATTCTTCTGTTGCACTGGTGATTCAAAATTGAGGTTTGACTGAGACTGGAAGTTCAGATATTGAGCAATATCACTCTTCCTTGATGCTGTGAAGGAAGAAGAGTCAAAGTTATTTTCTAATGTGTTATTTTAATATACTGTTGACCATCTCCAAACCCTCCTCAATCCCTTGTAATGGGTCTTTGTCGTCGTTGCTCAGAGATTCTTCTTCAGTGACTGGAGGAGGGGTTGACTGGATCTTCATTGCATCTTTCAAGAGGTCTTCGATTTCTTTGTACATTTTTAAATTATTTCAAATTTTATAACAGTTATTGGGGTTTTGGGGTTTTGGGGTTTTGGGGTTTTGGGGTTTTGGGG